AAACATGAGGGAAAACAGAGTAGTGTAATGAATACTCGTTATCTAAATTTAACAATTGTTAATATTTTGCAGAGACTTAATTTTTTAAATCAAATTTATTTCGTATTTGGACTTGGTCATATTAGCAGTAGGGAATCTCTTAAGTCGGCGAATTGGAGCGAGGAATAAGGGCCTAGGAATCACCTTAGTTTCTTCATGTGTGTGAATGGGGAGGCATCCCCAGGACCTCCGGGGCAGGATGCAGTGCTGACACCGTGTGGGGCTCCCAGGCTGCCAAAGCAGGTGGGAGGCTTTGCAGCAGAACCTGGATGTGGAGCAGTCAGGAGACCTGGAGGGAGATCTTGGTGGTCACTCAGGCATCTGCAGCCGGTAGGATCCAAGACGAGGACAAGTCTTCTAGGCAGTGAATGGGCTCTGACCAGCCGAAAAAACATTTCATAAATTATTGCGCCCTCAGGCTGCCCTGGGAAGGCTGGCAGGGTGAGCCGCAGCGAGGGGGCAGGAGCCCTGCCAGTGCACCCCCAGGACCATCAGGAGACGAGGGGATGCTCCCCAGAGATCAGGAGTATGTGTGCACCTGCCTCCTTCTCCCTTAACCCCAGAACCTTTGGGACAGAGGGGCGATCTGAGGAGCCAGCCGTTTTATTTCAGAGAATCTGGGCACTGTCTCCAAGTATAAACAGTCAGATTGGGTTAAATTCAAACTGGATTGGGCATTTATTATTATTTTTTTCCTTACTCATAAAATGACCAGATTAACTATAACCAAAATACTCCCGTAAAATGTATTCTCTACCTTTGAGTGTATCGTGACCCAGATATTTATTCTCCCTCCTTCCCACTCCTCCCCTCACCTGTAACAAACTCACAAAATTTCACATAGGAATCTCTTCTGTAGTAGCCCTGAGAGATGTCTTCCAGACTGAACCTGACTGTCTCCAGCACCCAGCTGCTTGGAGAATGAAATCTCTGGAGGGCAGGAATTTGTGTCTGTTCACTGCTCTACTACCAGAAGTTTCAATACTTGTAAAATGAATGAATAAACGTTCCAAGACCCTCAGATGTTTGTCATATAAACTGTTGCCAGAGTCTTCTGTTTATGTTATTGATTTTAAAAAATCTCAATCAGCAGGGCTTTATGTTCAACTTGAAGGAACACTGACATTTCCACTTGTTTTCAAGGCAGCACTGCAGTCTGTCCCTATCTTTGGGATCCATCTCTTATCACGTTAACGATCCCTTCCAGCCATGTGCCACCTGCATATTTGATGAGTGATGTCAGTCTGCTAAATAGGACTGCAGCTGTGTCTGGGTGGTGTGGGGGGGGGGGAGGCCTGGAAGGCACAGAGGAGCACAGCAGGAAAGCACTCGGGGTTAGAACAGAATGGAAGAGATGCCATGGAAACTTTCTGAAGCTCAGTGTTAAGGAAAGAAAGAGTGAGTCCAAATCAGGTATCATTTCAGATGAAGCTAATTTGGGGGGATTAGATAACTTTTACTTGGCATGAGGATGGGAGAGCTGGGGAAGGATTCGCCCCAGCTGGCATCGTGGGGAAATGAATTAATAATGAGTTGTGTACCCAGATGAGTGAGTGTTCTCTAAAGAAATAGAAGCAAGAGGATGTGTGTGTGTGTGTGTGTGCGCACACACACGTATGAGAAAGAGATTTATTATGCAGAATTGGCTCACACGATTGTGGAGTCTGGCAAATCCAAAATCTGCAGGGTAGGTAGGCTGGCAGTCTGGAGGTCTGGGGAAGAGCTGCAGTTTGAGTCTGGTGGCAGTTTCCTGGCAGAATTCCCTCTCTCCCGTGGGAGGGCAGTCCTTTTCTTAACGCCTTCAACTGATTGGATGAGACCCTCCCACATTATGGAGGGCAATCTGCTTTGCTTAATGTCTACTGATTAACCCCATCCAAAAAAAATCCCTTCACAGAAACATCTAAAATAATACTTGACCAATATGAGGGTACCATGGCCTAGCCAAGCTGACACATAAAATTAACCACCAGAGAACCACTTAGCAAAAATCGAACACAAAACAGCTGCGTTTATCTGACAGATGAATTAGAGCAATATTCTAATCCCACTGACAATTCACATACTACCCAGCCCTCTTTGTAGTTTCCTGCCTTGCGCCTCTGCCTCATTACTGACTTATCCTGGAACGCTCTTTTCCAACCTTGCTTCCCTCACCACTGGAAAAATTCTCCTCATCTTTCAATGCTCAGATCAAGTGTCAACTCTGTAATACTATCTTTAATACCACATCCCATCCTGAAGAACTGATTCGTTTGTGGGTCTTTTCTGCATGTCCTGTTTTAACACTGATCACATGGCCTTGCAATGGCTTGTACGTCAAATGTCAGATTAGCAAAGTGGTTAAAAGTGTAAACTCTGGCTCTAGACTTCCTCCATTTAATTCCTGACCTGGGCAAGTTACCCAATCTCTTTATGCCTTAGCTTCTTCATCTGTGATATGGGACTATATCTACAATCTGAGTTTATAGTGAGGACTCGATGACTTACTACATGTAAAACTTTTAAAACTGCATGTAGTAACCACTCAGAAAAATGGGACTTATTTTCATTCTTAGTGTTACGGTTGCTATCTGATTCCTGTGTCGTGCGGAAAGACTAGGTGTTTCTGGAGGCCAGGGACGTTATCCTACTTCTCTGTGCATCCCCCCAATATTGTGTAGACGATACCAATGGGCTCTAGACATTTCCTGGAGTGTATAGTGTGGGGACCTCTATAATATATGAAGGCTGGCAACATTATCACTCATTCAAACCTCATTGTGAGGTCATTAATATCCCCATTTTACAGATGGAGAAACTGAGAAGTAGACATGAATTGAATTGTCCAATGTCACACAAGGCAGGCAAGTGGCAGACTAACTCCAAGGTCAGTGACAGAGAAGTGCAGGGATGCCAGGAGTTTGGAGTTTCTTTTCTGGCCCAGGGACCACCTTTTCCTCCTTCTAATTCCTTTTTACTGCCAAGAACATAGACGTTCTGGACTGTGATGCCCGCAAAATAAAAAAGAAAAAAAAAAAAAAGAAAGAAAAAGAGGTCTCCTTTCACAGTACAGAACTGAGTTAGGAAAAGGCTATTAATACAAGATATCCTCGGCCGTGACCGTGGCCTCTTCTGTTTTGGTCTTAATCTCCGGGAGGGGAATTTGACTGATGGCCACCACCACCAAGTTAGCGGCGTGGGCTGAGGCGCTGGCCACGCAGATCCAGAACGACTCTTCGTACTGTTCCTCCACCACCACGAAGCGAAAGAACTTCTCCTGAAAGTTGGCGATTCGCTCGGTCAGGTCGTGAAATTTCACCGCAGCCGTGAAGCTGGCGAGGGCCAGAGCCATGACTCCGCCTGAAACGCAAAAAGGATGCCCTCGTTCACAGCTCCTTTTTACAATTTGATGACTAGACGTGAGGGGGCATGTCTGTGGCACAGGCCACCAACTTGCTTGGGGTTTAAAACATTCTTAGGGCGACACAAATTTTCATTTGCTTTTAAAAGCAGCAGATAATCCAGTGTGAGGGGTGAGAGGTGTTGGGAGACACAGAATAAGCTTCACATCCCATTGACTTTGACTCTAGACCCCTCTGATTTTTCCCTGACCCAGTGAAGGTGTGCACATGTCTCTAAACTTTTCAGCATTTGTATGTAGACCCTGAGGACTGTGTGGGAAGATGTTAGAACGTCCTACTGGGTGGACTAGGGGGTTAACAGAGGGTTAGACTATTCTCTCCTCTTTGTCCTCTTTCCAAGCTTAAGGATAAGGGGGGTGAAGTGGAGGAGGAAAGGGAAGTAGAGAGAGGAAATTGGAAAGATTTCAAACCTCATATGCTTCCCTACTTGTGGCTTCAGACTTTGACCTTCTGGGTTCCCTCTGTTTCTCTTTCTCTCTTCAGCTCTCTCTCCCTGTCTCTCTACTTTTCTACTGCCTTGATTTTAATTAATATTTAAAAACACATTTATTATGCCATTACATAATAAAATATTATGCTATGCATGATAAAACAACATTACCTATTTTTATATTTCATGGTCATCCTGTATAAGGTAAAGGTAGAGAGGGGTTTTGGCCATCAGGATGCCTTGAACATGGGACCTTGGTTTCCTGAAATCATTCTTGGGATTTTGTTACTTTCATTACAGGTGATTTTTTCAGTGCATAACTAAATGTGAATGAATTTCTGCATATCAGTATATTCTCCCAAATCAACACACACACACACTCACACATACATGTTTTGTCTTGGAAAATAGGTCACAATGGTCATAAATGTCACCATAGATTAATGAAAAGACAAAAAATTTTGACTCAATTATACATGGGTTGGAATTCCACCTCTGAAACTTATTGCTGTGTGACTTTCAGTGCATCTTTTAACTTCTCTGAGCCTCAGGCTCTTCATCTGTAATTATGGTAATAATACCATCATACAGGGAGGCTGTGAGGTTTGTAGGAAATAAGGCATGAAAATCCCCAGGTCCCTTCTTTTCTGTCGTTGGTGAGGTTCCTCCAGTCTCACAGCAGCAGCCCTGCCTCCTCACTCCTACAGGCCCCGCCTCTCCATCCCCAGCTCTGTCTTCTCCTTCTCTCATCACCCCCTCTTTGCTGCTCCAAGTCCTCAGCCACTCAGGTATGCTGACAATTTGGTTCTTATGATGACAGAGATGCTGTAACTTTTGGTGAAAAGGATATTCATGTCTATTAAGCAGGTAAGAGACCCGAGGAAGTGAAGGTTGGGGGAGCATTTTACTTCCTTCACACCTTCTGCCCCCCTGCTTGGAACTCAGCCCCGTGATGCAGGACAGGAGTCTCTCTCCCCAGGGACCTTCCTCACCTGCAAGAACATTCCACAGGCAGATGCCCCCGGGGCCGTTGACTGCTCGGTACGGAACCTGGACCATGTTGAGAATGGCAAAGCCCATGCTGACCAGCGCCAGCGCCAGGGCCAGGAAGAGGAGCAGCAGGATGGTCACGTGCAGGCCCGCGTTGAGCTCCTTCAGCAGGTGCGGGAAGACTGTGGAGAGAAGACACAGCCAACACGTCAGGGTCAGAGCTCGGCTCGAGTCCATATGGCCAAGCTTGCTCACCATGAAGGTCTTAGTAGAGGGGAGTGAGGTCAAGTGCTGGGCTTTCAAAAAGCAGAAGACTTCCTGAGATGAATTCACAGCCTCCAGATTTGCCACTTGTTCCTTGGCCAACACTTCTCTTTCTTGGGGTGGAGGCAAAATCAAAATGTGCCCCAGCTGGGCATTTAAGTTGCACTGACCTCGCATCTCTGGGGTCTGGTGTGAGCTGACCCACAC